ACGGTCCCCTGGCATTTGGGTGGCGCTGTCAAAGGTCGGCACGGAGCTTAGACCACACCGATTACGTGGGGGGTCTGGCGCAGAAAACTCCAACTGAGCTCCTAAAATTTCGAGGCCAGGGGTTGAGAGTGTCTGTCGGTCCTTCATCATCAAGCTTCAGGCCCAGTGTCGACTCCTTTGCGATCGCCCACAATGTCGTCGCGAATGCTGGGATCGCTGTGCCCCAAGTGTCATTTGACATTGCGACCGCAGTCTTTCCCGCGCTTAGCGACTTCGCCATGGTATACACAAAGCGCCGGCTTCCGCTCAGCCACCAAGGGGAAGCCATCACGAATGGTCCTTTCAGACGATGTTGCACGACCCCGAAACCGAGATGCCAGACCGCCACGACGACAAGTTGAAGGACCTTTTGGTGGTATGAACCAGACCTTTGCGAGAGTACCCGAAAAGCGCACGATACGTCCACCCAACGCGAGGGACTCGAGGGATGGGAGAGGCTCTTCAAACAGGTACAACAGAGGCGATTCCCAGACCTCTTCCGATCCGCGAAAGGCTTTGAAAATGCAACGGTCTCTAGCGGGGGTCTCATACGGAAAGAGAAATGTTTTGAAAGACAAAATGCAAGAATACGAATCGTTCGACCAATTCAACCTCTTACCCATAATGAAGGACGGCATCAAGGATGACCTTCTGCGAGGAATGGTGGAAATCAAGCCAACGCCCATCCAGAGGCTTGCTATTCCAGCCATGCTGGGCCAGGCTAGCGCCTTCAAAGTCCGGGGCGAGAAGAGGCAAGACTTTCTACTTGCTGCCGAGACTGGTTCTGGCAAGACGTTGGCGTACATGCTGCCGGCCGTCAACGCTATGAAGATCGCTGAGGAAGCCAACCCTGAGATCCAGTCCTTCATGAAGCGCTTCCAGGAGGAGAAGGAAAGAGAACAGAAGGCCAATAAGGGCCCCAAGTCCAAGAAAATGTCTGCATTCGACGAGCCTCACCCGACCATGGCTAGACCTCGCATCATCGTTCTGGTCCCTTCTGCAGAGCTTGTGGAACAGGTTGGAAAGGTGGCCAAAACCCTGTCGCACGCCGTCAAGTTCAAGGCAGAGGTTCTCTCCGCCAACCTCAAGGCCCTGACGATCCAGCGCAATCTGTACTCGCCGCGTGGTGTCGACATGGTTGTCACGACGCCTCACCTGCTAGCCTCGATTGCCGAATCCGATCCCAACGTCCTCTCTCAAGTCACCCATCTGATTGTCGACGAGGCGGACTCGCTCTTTGACCGAAGCTTTGCCCCCGTTACCACGACCATCATTGATAGGGCGATGCCGTCCTTGAAGCAGTTCATACTCTGCTCAGCAACAATACCCAAACGACTGGACAATTACCTCGCCAACAACTTCCCCAACATGACGAGAATCACAACGCCGAACCTTCATGCTATCCCCAGAAGAGTTCAACTCGGTGTCATTGATGTTGTCAAGGACCCTTACCGCAACAACAAGAACCTGGCCTGCGCCGATGCCATCTACACTATTGGTCGAGAAGCCTCCAAGCACGAGGGCCCGATCCAAGGTGAAATCGACGTCCGCCGAATTATGGTGTTTGTCAACGAACGTGAGAAGACAACGGAGGTTGCTGAATACCTTCAATCTAAGGGCATCGACGCTATTGCGTTGAACCGGGACGCAGCCGAGAGCCGCCAGTCCGAAATGCTGAAAGCCTTCACTTCTTCAGAACCCTTGCGCGCAGTGTCATCACCAGAGGCCCCCGTACCAGGCAAACGATCGCTGCCCAACACCAAGGTCATTGTTGCCACCGACTTGGCCTCTAGAGGTATTGACACATTGGCTGTCCGCCACGTTATTCTTTACGACGTCCCGCACACTACCATCGACTTCATCCATCGCCTGGGAAGAGCGGGTCGCATGGGACGACGTGGAAGAGGCATTGTGCTTGTTGGCAAGGATGACAAGAAGGACGTCGTTGCTGAGGTTAAGGAGAGCATGTTCATGGGTCAGGCACTTATCTAGTGACCACTCATGGCACGGATAAACAAAAACAATGTACAACATTCATGTAAAACACCTTGTATATCACTAAAAAAACAGATAGAGTCGAGGCAAAGGGATGGGATGATGCACAGATACCTGGGATACATTCGGCTCAGGAGACATGATGGTGAAGAGCGAGGTCTCAGCTCCCTAATGAAACATTTTCTACCAACCAATAGACCAAGCCATTACTAGCAACACGTCCTTTCGATAAACTTCAGATAACGTCATGCATAATGAACTGTGAGTCTGTGACAGCTTGTTGACAGTTTCTCCAAGTCAAATTGTGGCTAGTGGTGTGGCGCTAGCTCTCTGCTTTCAATTTGGGAGTGGGTCGCGAGCTGGACCTGCAAGGTTGGAGTTCGCGACGCGTCCGGCCCGCAGGCGTTTCCCTCCCACACCACATCAAAATATCACAGACCCTCCCCCGTCTTATCACTATAGGTAGCAGCCTGACGCCCCGGTCAGATATCCGTACGACAATTCTTCACGACACCTTTACATAGTATTGAATAGCTGTCACCCCAGGCACTCTGCAGTTTCCATTAACACCAAGTGCCCGCCATGCCACGACCTAAACGAGCGCGTCGCGCACCAACCCAGCCAGTCGCAGCTGTGCCCGCCGCGCCTGAAGCAAGATCGAGCCCCGCGCCCGCGTCAGGCAGCGATATCTACAGCCACAGCGATCGCGAACATTCTGTCATTAGGAAGGAGCTTGCAGAGGAGGACACATCTCTCTTCAAGGAAGGTCCGTCTACGCGTCTAAGCAGGAGTTCCAGCTTGCGCCAGAGGCAGGTGCCGGGCAAGGCGGGTCATGCGTTGGACGATAATGTGAGCAAGCTGGAGGACGCAGTCGAAACGGCGGCTTCCAAGGCAAAGACATCCAGCGAACAGCAAAAGTCGGATTCGTCGGTCGAAGTGGGACGGAAGACACGCGCAACGCCAGTTCAGCAGCGCAGGGACACGACGGGGTTGGATTTGGACGACGATATGTTTACGGGACTTGACACGACTCTCGGCGATGATGACGATGATGCCGCTGCGCCTCCAAGTGCGCCGCGATCCGAAGCCTCAAATTTCAGTGTGAGCCACTTTAGACGAAAGGGTCGCGCGCCGAGTATCAGCATCAACAAGGACGATGCGCCCATTAGACCAAGTAGTCGTGGAGTCGGTGGCACGCCTAGTATCAGCTCGACCTTCAACATTGGTCTGTTTAAACGCCGTCAACGAGAACCAAGTATTCTAGGGACGGCGCAGAAGGAGCGCGCACAGAGGCCGATTGAGGTATCGTCAGGGTCCGAGTCCGACGATGAGGATGGTGAAGATTTTGAGCCCGAGGCCGAGTCGACGCCTCTTCAGAATCGCCGCAGAACACAACCTGCTCCCGCAACTGAGCTCGAGTCAGAGTCGCAGCAAGTTCTAGCACCGGATTCTCAGCCCGCCGAAAAAGACGCTGAGCCAACAAGCGCCAGCTCACGGAAGCGGAAGAGCATAGAGAGCCACGAGGACACTGAGCGTCCGGGAAAGGCGTCAAGGACTGAATCCGAGCCCGCGCCTGAGTTGGATGACGATGACGACAGTGATTCAGAGCTCTCCGAGCTGCCTTCTCCTGTTCTGACTCCCACGAGACCTTCTGCTTTCCCGCGGCCAGTTACTCCGAATCAAGAAGACATCATGGCACCTCCTGAGAGCAGCGACTCGGAAGATAACAACGAGGCGTGGCCCGACATTCGCACACTTGCCAAACAGCGCCGCCGCCAAGCGCCTACCACACCAACGCGAGATGGCAACATCTCCGATGCTTCCTCGCCGCCTTCGTTGACCCACTCGCCCAACTTCCCAGCGACAAGGAATAAGTCCAAGCAGAAGAAGCAGGCCAAGGCGCCTAAGGTTACGACAGCGGATTTGACGGGCATGCTGCCGCGCAGACGCTCCAAGAAGAATCGGGACCCTTATAGCGTGGGCGGCTCTGAGGATGAGGAGGCACGCAACTCCGACGCCTCCCAGGATGACGACGAGCTCTCATACGCGGATACGAGGACTCGCTCGCGCCGGGCGAAGACGACACCTCTCAACCGTAGCACGGCAAATAGGCCACCATCCCGTGGTGGCCGCGCCACGGCGGCGGGAGGGAAGGCGAAAACAGCGGCACCTAGCACTCGTGCGTCAACACGCACTTACAGCCGCAGACTCTCGGACAAGGAGAACGAGGGCGAGGGCGAGGTTGCGGGTGAAGCAGGGACAGAGGCGGAGACTGGAGCGGAACCCGAAGCGGGATTCGAGGGTGACAGCTTTGCCCCGATTCGGGACGACGTTCTCGAGAGCCAGGAGAGCAGCGACCCCACGCGCAGTGCCGACGAGCTGAAGAAGGCAACGCGCAAATTTAGAGAAGTTGACCGCTGGCAGCTCGAGTTTGAAGAAATGACGGAGGGATCATCACCCAACCGAGATGCACGGTAGAAAGAGAGAGGAGGGCAAGATTGTCTTTGGTACTGACGGATTACTGGCTTGGTGAACAAAATGGAGGGCACGGTGTTTATGAGGGACAGGGTGGGAGTTTTTTGCGCGTATTCTATGTTCATGAAGCCGTCAAGTACCTGTACGGACTGGGTTGGGAGGGCTTCCTCCGCGGTTTAGCTGATGTTGAGCTCTAGCGTATACGCTGCGTTGTTATCCATACCTTGTTGACAGTATGTCGTCGATGCGGTTCATTATTTACGACTCCCCAAAAGACTGCAGTCAAGTGACACACACAAACAGAGCTTAATTCACTTCCTTCACAAGTGGTCATTTGATTTTCTCGAGGCAAATGTGATATACCTACAATGTCGTGATACTTTTCCCTGGTTCGTCCGAAACGCCTTTCGTTAACCCATAACGCCAGCCATCCCCCTTGCGAGGAGGGGTATTTCTTTGAAGCAATACGCGAGGGACTGAGAACTCTGTGTTCATTTCTTGAGGAATACGCTCTGTACCGTCTGCTCCACAGTCGGCAGCAGGTTGTAGAGTAGGTTTGGATCACGCAGCGCGATGACAATGTCATCTGGCAACCTGCCCTCCATGAATAGTGACTTTGCGGGGTAGTTCGTTAGCATTGCAGGTTCCAAGTCGAGGAGATTGCATGGCATGGTCTCTAACATAATAGAGAGAACAAGAAAGAAGGAGGAATAGGGGGGGGGGGGGAAACTCACCCGCTTGACGCTGTCAAAGCTATCCTCCTTGGCCGTGTACTCCCGAATGACCTCGTCCGTCTCAAAGTCGACGTACACCCTCGTGTCCCGGATCCGCACAATCACATTATCGAGGCGCATGAAGAGCCTGCACAGCAGCAGCATGCGCTTCTCGTGCACGCGGACTTTTACGCTGACGATCGAGATGCCGTTGTCGTCGAGCTCGCTCTCGAAGAGCACCACGTCGTCGAAGAAGAGGATCGGGTCGCGGCGCTTGAGGAGCTCGAGGGGTATCATCCTCGTCGTCGTCTCCTCGAGTTTGTTCTTGTTCTCCTGCGCTTCCTGCTGCGCGCCCGCGGTTCCTGTCGGCTCCTCCAGCGTCCCCCGGTACTCGGTGGAGTAGGACCAGTCGTACGGCTTCACGACCTCCTTGATGCCCGCGCTCGTCTTCTCGCGCGAGGAGGACCAGTCGCGCGCGTAGGCGACCTGCAGCATCTTCTTGTCCGTCTTGTCGACGGCGTCGAGCGCGTCGTAGGCGTTGAAGGCGATGGACCAGCCCGTCGGCACGTGGGACACGGAGACGAGGTTGTCGCCAAAGATCATTTCGGGGACGGGGATGCCGAGCGAGGCCGTCATGTCGTCGATGGGGCCGGCTTTGGAGATGGGGAGCTTGCGGGAGGCGACGCGGAAGTTGCGCTGGGTGTGGGTTGTTGTTGCGGCGGCGAGGGCGGAGGGGGTTGGGAAGGGTTCGTTTGGGTTGGTTATGTGGTTCATCTTGGGCGAGACTTGCTTTTTTGACTTTTGGTGTGGATTATGCCGGTCTGTGTGGGATTTGGGTAGTGCGCGCGCAGGCGGGTGTTCGTGGTGAGGATGGATGATGAGCTTCGCGGGAGGTTGAGGATTGGAGGTGGTGCAGCTCGGATCGGAGGTAAAGTTGCTGGCTTGCAGTTGGAGCTCTAGTTCAGTTGGGGCGAGAGAGGTGGTGATGGTGGGGTTGGCGGGGAACACGAAGGAGTCTCGGGACCCAGATCCCTGCTTGTCTCGGTGAGGGTGACGGGCCAGACGTCACTCGTCACTCACCGACTTACACCGAGGCTGATTCAATATAAATCGACTTATTCAAAAATACAAAAGAGTTCACCCCCCCGGTGCCGATTGGGGGCTACATCTCTTGGCGCTCATGCTGGGATTCGAACTCGGGTACTCGCTAAGCCTGTCGTCGAGTAGGCTGGTTGGTGTATGAATTGATTGTTGACCATAACCATTCCACCACCCACGCCACAGTTTGACCTGACCCCCGACCTAGAGGGCGCCTGCTGTGCTGGTGACAGGAATGGAGTCGAGGGGGTATATGAGGCTTTCTCATGATCGGATGAGATCTAGGTACGTATCTCCACTACCTATCTATGGATGCGAGCAACCCTGAAAGCTTTTGCCCAGGCTGTACCACCTTTATCGTGAACTCTCCCTTGAGTCAACACCCAGTGGGATACCCGAGACCTAGATTCGGTGTCATCAGTAATTTGTATGGGCGTATGATGTGTTCGATGTGTTCGATAGAAGTTCAAGGCGGAATTGCAGAAAGAAGGCCTCACCTGTTTTACTGATATCCCTCGTTAGCCCGAATTTCAACAATAACAAATATGAATTCCAGGATGTTTTATTGACCGATAAATCACCAATACTTATTTCCGTCGTCATTCCGTTGAGAAATACAACAGTCCGTTCCGATGGTTTCTCCATTTCGAGCCTCTTAAATTTCAAACAGTCGTTTTAAACCTTTGAGATCCAGGCTGCTTAATAATAGGAGACCAACGAGGGAAGCACGGGTCACTGTCGGTTGAAAAGTATCTGAGTAAGTGGCGACATGTGTCGCTGTGGGAGTACCTCATTACTAGATTCGGCATTCTAATTTATCATCCTGAGATGTAGGCATCAACCACTCTCGGGGAATGCTAGGCCATCACCATTGCTGGTGTAGTAGCCTCAAGCTCAAATTGTACCCAGCTTGTCGCATATTTCCATCTTTATTTGCCACAAGCTTAACGATCATGGTGATTTTGTCATGTTATTGAGCGTAGATGGAACGTGTGGATGAATGTGCGGAAATAATTGACATCGGCTGGCAATACTGCTTATCTTTATTGAGACTACTGATGATGCGAAATCATATTCACGATTGGCTTTCAAATTCAATCCTAGGGAATTATGTATCCTGAATGTTGGACACTGGAACGCAACGATGAAAATGGACTCTATTGACTTGGCTAAGTAATCGACGACGAGTAACAACAAGCCGGACAGCAAGCAGATCTTGCAGGCTCGAAAGGCATTAGACCCCCTCAGGGGATTGTAGGGTCTGACTGTGAAGCGATGAGTGCCGCCGACATTGAACCCTACTGCTTCTCTGATGGAGATAGATTAGTATGTTGCAAATCGATCCATCGCCCATAGGATCAACAGGTCATTGGGTGAGCTTTACTAAGCCACCGGAGAAAGGTACTTGATAAATAACAACTAACGAACTATAGCTGTAACTCATGGAATGGGTTCCTCCGATATAACAGCTGAGTGGCATATTAAGCGTTAAGATGCCTTCCCTAGCCACCATAATATTCGTTCATCTTTCATCTTTCTCGAATTCACGACCGATACTACATAAGGAGGACCACAACAGCTTTCCCGAGAACCAATAAGTTAAGGACTTTCAGACATGGACCACTCTCCACAGCAACATTGGGGTCGGCCTCAAGCTGGTCGACCTCAAGCTGGTCGATCTCAAGCTCCTCGACCACGGTTCAACAGCCTTGGCCTACGTCGCAGCGCTGCCCCGACCACGAGGGTCGCTCCTACTGCCAAGTCATCCGACAACCGTCTCTCTCCTTTGGACACGTTCCGAGCAATGATCGAGGAGTTGGGGCCCAGCGTCAAGACGCACGCTCTGTGCGATAGATGCGGACAAGTCCTCAAAGTTCCGGTACCAAAAGAATGGCTTGGAAGACTAGAAAGAGACAAAGATCGATATCCTCTTCCTTCAAACCTCACACCTCGATCCTGGGAAGCGTATCTAGGGGATACTCATCTCCGTATCTCTTCACAGGTTTGCCCTGGTAATGAAAATGGCACCTGCCTCACCAAGCGCACTCACGACGATATAAAGACCTGGGGAGAACTCAAGGCGTTGCCGGAAACATCACCTGAAGTAGACCAGGAATGGCTTCAACTTGACCTTCCGTCAGCTGTGGGATACCTGGCGGCCCCAGACTGGCAAGAAAAACTCCAATCCGCAGTGATCAATGCTTCCAGAAATGATCCCCCGGAGTCCAGGTTGAGCAAGTCCTGGGTCAATTACATCTACTGGCGATGTGCCTGGCTTTTCTTCTCTCTGCGCAAAGGAGGCCTGAGGCACGAGAACGCCAAACTTGAGAGAATGTGGGGTCAAGTCGATGTAGACATATTGCTCTTGGAATATGGCGTGCTCGAAAAGGCAGATCTGGAGGCCCTATATTGTACAAGTTATTCATCTCTCGCAGGCTTGATATCTTGTAAATGGCTATACGGGTCGGCTTTGCTCAACATGTTCTTTGGGATCAGGCGCGATATCGGTAAAGATCAGTTCAATCAGCTCAAGAGAGCCGTCCAGCGAGCTGATACGGCCATGGGGAAGTACCTCTTGGCCTGCGTCAACATGGACGCTGTGGAGTGGAACGCCCGACGGCGCGCTGCTTTCACTGCGTATCGGCACGTCGAGGAGCACTTGCACCATTACGCGAGTACTTCGCAACTGAGAGAATTCTTCAAATTACGGCAGTCGCCACCTCCGCCTTCGGCCGAGTTGTTGGAGGAATCCTTGGCTGAAAAGGGGGCACAAGAGCGGACTATGCTTATTAGAGCTTCGAGACACGTTGAGCTCGACAAGAGCGGCAACAAACCTGATTGGGTTCGGAATCGAGCCCAGCTGGCCAGGTCGGTCCCCAATCGATGGCCCAGGTGGGAGTCTGCCGGGATTGGCAGGCTTCATGCTCGTTAGATGCGGCACTGAGAGCTTGAAGATGCAACACTCAGACTACGCAGCCACAGCTGGTATGTCTTGAATCGAAGCGGGACGTATATATGTATAGAGAAAATTTTCAAGGATATCGTTTTGGAGGACCACTTCAGTATAGAGGCGGTCTAAATTACACGAGGTAGGAATTACTGAGGAAAGAAGCTCCAGATATCGTTACTGGACTATACAGGTAGCCAGTAGTTGACCTGTATTAATTGCGCACAATCTATTATTTACGGTCCAGTTGCTTTCCTTCGGTATTCCGACGTCACCCACGCGCAGTTGATTCTGCTCCTATGTCCAGAGCTGATCTATAACCAACAGCTACCATGGATGAAGGCAATTGGGTTCACAAACTCCGTTCGTAGGGCATGTCGTTGGTGCATTTGCTCATCGCCGGTCTCTCGAAAACAACACGGCTCAAACTAGTAGGCCGAGAGCCACGTGCACGGTGTCAAACATGAATGAAAGAAGCGAGTCAATCAAAAAGACACGGTCTAGCCAACACGGATCTTGGAAAACCTGACCATGTCAGATCAAGCTGACAGCGGCTAGCAAAGTTGAGGCTGTCGGTCGCCCAGGAAGTGGGAAGTGGGGGAGAGATCTGAAAGAGCGGGGCGGGTCGCTGCCCTGGCGCCGGCGCCGTCGTTCCCCTGGCAACCATCCTCACCCCCGTTGTTTAGCTTCCCACACCTAGCTCGTCCATCGTTACCCGAGAACCTTTCTTAATAACCTGACAACCAACTCCAGGTTCCTTGATTCAAAAACCCTCCAGTGCACTCTTTCTAACCAACAGGGAACATTCGACTTGCTACATCTCCATCCACAATCACATAGCAAGATGGCGACTCGGACGCTGGAATCGCGCTTTGAGCGCATGTCGGTAAACGACGAGAACGAGCCTGTCGATGGCGGCAAGCTCTACTCCAAGACTCAGGTCGGTCTCGTCGACACATGTGTAATCGCTGTGTGAAATCATGGCTGACGATTGTCCCGTAGACTTTGGTGAAGACATCACAGCTCTCCCAGAGCTCGAGCAGACCGAACCTCATCAAGGTCGCCCTCCAGTCCCAGAGCACCAATGCCGTCGCCTCGGTAACGCTGCCATCACAAAACGCACAACGACAGGCCAAGAACCCGGCATCGCCCGCAAGAAAACCCCTGCCCTCTAGCTCCTCGAGAACGTCCGACGAGGTTGTCGAGATCGAGCGCAAGTCCGGCGTCTCCATCGTCATCGAGCCCTCGATGCCCAAGGTCTTCCACCTCGGCATGTTTGAGATTGGCCGGCCCCTGGGCAAGGGTAAGTTCGGCCGCGTATACCTCGCGAGGGAGCGCACGAGCGGCTTCATCTGCGCCCTCAAGGTCCTGCACAAGAACGAACTCCAGCAGGGCCGCGTCGAGAAGCAGGTCCGCCGCGAGATCGAGATCCAGAGTAACCTGCGCCACCCCAACATCCTCCAGCTGTACGGCCACTTTCACGACAGCAAGCGCGTCTTCCTCATCCTCGAGTTCGCTGGCAAGGGCGAGCTGTACAAGCACTTGCGTAAAGAGAGCAGGTTCCCCGAGTGGAAGTCGGCGCAGTACATTGCCCAGATGGCCTCGGCGCTGCGCTACCTGCACCGCAAGCACGTCATTCACCGTGACATCAAGCCCGAGAACATCCTCATGGGCATCCACGGCGAGATCAAGATTTCCGATTTCGGCTGGAGCGTCCACGCCCCCAACAACCGTCGCAACACCATGTGCGGTACCCTCGACTACCTGCCCCCAGAAATGATCAAGCCCGGTAGCTCGGACAACTACTACAACGAGAAGGTTGATCTCTGGAGTTTGGGTGTCTTGACGTATGAGTTTCTCGTTGGCGAGGCACCGTTTGAGGATACGCCCGTGATGACGCAGCGGAGGATAGCTCGGGCTGACATGACGGTTCCGTCCTTTGTCAGTCCCGAGGCCAAGGACTTGATCAAAAAGGTGAGGCAGCATTTATTCAAATTCATGATACACAAAAACGAATGCTAACATCATCTCTAGTTGCTTGTTCTCGACCCCGAGAAGAGAATACCCCTGGAGCAGGTCCAGACCCACCCGTGGATCGTCAAGCACTGTGTGAAGGGCGAGAGAGCCGCCAACCGTGAGAAGAGCTCCTAATTAATGACCCTTATGATTCATGCATACATACCATCAAGGCATAACGGCCCTTGTAGGATTACCGGCGTTTTCTTCTTCTTTGCGGTATTCAGGCGGGCTCTGATCTACAGCTTGGGGTTTTCGGGAGTGGGAAAGGTGTTTCCAATTGCATGTACGGGAGTTGGTGTTCTTAATGTCCGTCGTTTTCAGAGTATCAAGAAACCCAAAGAAGCATAGCCATCGTCCAAATATTTTGCTATATTTCCCGGTGTTGTCTTCCGTGAGAGTAGGAAGAAATAGTACATGAATAAAGGGGGGTATTGTTTACACACGCTCGTTTTGTGGACGAGCCCAATCCTGTCGTCATCGTCCATCACCTGTAAACCTCGTCAAAGGGCCGCGTATCGCTGAAGCAGGACTCCCAGACCTGGTTCACCACCTTGGTCGCCTGCACATCATCCTTGCACCTGGGTCGGTTGAGGACGGACTGTATCGCGCGCTTCCGCACGCAGTCCTGGAACTGCTGAGACAGGCTCCAGTTGCCTCTTGTAAAAGCCTCTCTTGTCCATCTGCACTCGCCGCTGAGCATCGATGCTCGGATCTGCCGTCCCGTCAGTTCAGTTTCTCCCGTTCTCTCCGCCTCTGCTCGGGATCAGCCGGCGCAGGACGCAACCTTACCTCTGTACACGCTGCATGCTTCAAATCCAGATCACCCATCCAATCCACCTTCCACCGCAGGTGATCCCACGCGTGCACCATCTCGTGCGAGAGCGTATCCTCCAGGTGCTTCCGGTCCCTGACCTCGTTGGCGCAGATCATGATGCCGTGGGCGGGGCTGAAGCCGCCCGACTGGCGGTGGACCTCGCCGTCCTCGGTCAGGCGCGCGGGGCACCGGCGGCACTGGATGTTGGACGCGTCGAGGGTGCCGTTGAGGCCGGCGATCTTTTCGTTGAGGAAGCGCACGGTCGGGGAGAAGGCGAGGAGCCAGTCGCGGTGTTCCTCGCAGCGCTTGCAGTCGCGCTCCTCGTTGGCGCGGTACCGGGCCTCGCGGTAGTGGAAGGCGCCTTCGGCTGTCATGCGGCCCGTGAGGATGTTGAAGTAGTTCATCCACCACTTTGTCTGCGGGTCGAAACCGGTGCGAGCGGGGTCGTTGGTGAGCTCGCGCGGTGGTTGTTTCTGCTGCGGTTGTTGCGCGGGTGGTGATGATGATGTTGTTGGGGAAGGGGTCGCTGTCGAGGAGGCTAAGGGGCCCAGTGCCGCCGCTTGTTTGTCGTCGAGGATTGTCATTTTGGGCGTCGTGTGGTTGAGAATTCAACTGTGCTTCGAGATTTGTCGCTGATGATGGGCGTCTACAACATGAGGATCGGGTGGTGGTTGGTCAAGGATGGAGGTCGTTGCTGGAAGATCGGGAATTTTTGGCCGTTATCGATAAACCCTTCGATGTGATGGTGGTAGGTACTTGGCCAGAGGTACCACTTCATGGATACCTACTACGTAAAGACAATTGTTGCACTCCGTCGTCCCATCATTCCTTGCGAACCAAGAGAGCGCAACATTCCTCCTATGCCATCTCAAAGCTTGTATCTTCTTTGAAGAACTTCATTCAATGATCTCGCAAATGACTTTGAGTCAACTAATTGCTATCTGATCCTTTTGAACCATAAGTCCGATGTCCTAGCATCTTGCCGGTTGTCGTAACTGGCAGACCGCAGATCTACCGAGGGCGCGCCCTTTCCACTCAGTATGCAACGCAACGTGGAAATGACTTGACCGGCGGTTCAGCTCTTTCTCTTAATCGAGACATAATGGGAATACCACGGGTTGTTTTTGGTAGGCAGGGATAATGGCAACAATGGGCCGGGCCATCAAGACCAACGGTGAAGATGCCCGGTGCACTATGTACGGCAACCCCCCCCGGATTTTAGGGTCAGTATATCGCCCAATCACAGGCGTCTTTGACAGCCCAACTCCCGGGCGTTCTCCCGCCTTTCCTCTACACCGGACGATCCCGATGTCGGGCCAGTTTTTTTTTTTACACTTCCACGCCGGCCCAGTCATAGGTTCAGCGGAAGAAAAAAAGGTACACGCAACCGACAAGTCAAAAGACAACGAAAGGGCGCGGTAAACCGACCAGGGGCCTTGCACACATCACCACATCAGAACCAGGCGGATCCTTTTTTTCGTCCCACAATTAACCAACTCGAAGCAACGGTGCTGGGCTCTGACTCTGGCAATGGCGGAAGCGGGTGGTCCTATGTGTAAGAAAGGGATCCAGTTATTTTTTCTCCCCTCCTACGTAATGCGCCTGGTGCCATTTGCTTGGGCGTCTTCTTGCGTTGATCGTGGCTGTCCCATTCTTGACACTACTTTATTTATACTTATTAGTTGATGTCGTTATCTCTCATTTTGGGCAACGGGCCGGATGACCTTACGAGATTTGTTTGACTGACTTGAGATTCCACCATCTGCAGACATGAAGCACCGCGAGGGCCGGAAACCTCTGACGGTGGTGCTGAAACTTGGTGAGTCTTCAAAAGTGCTGTATCCTTCAATGATCCATGTGCTAACTCATCGCACAGGCACCAGCTCTATCGTGGACGAGAAGACACATCAGCCCTTACTCTCCATCCTGAGTCTTATTGTTGAGACGGCCGTGAAGTTGAGGAAAGATGGCCATAGGGTGGTCATTGTCTCATCTGGCGCCATCGGTGTTGGTCTTCTTCGGATGGAAATGGACAGACGGCCAAAGCACTTGTCAACACTACAGGTACATTTCCAGACCTCAGGCCCTCGATCTCTGAAGTTGCTCAAGCTGAACAATACTCGCAGGCGTTAGCGGCTATCGGCCAATGTAGACTCATCAGCCTATGGGACGATCTGTTCGGCCACTTCAGACAGCCCGTCGCACAGATTCTGCTCACCAGAAACGACATTGCAGATGTAGGTCAAGCTCAGAAACGGACAACTATAGTAGGCAAGCTGCTGACACACATTTGCAGCGGACACGGTACCTCAATGCCCAAAACACATTCAACGAGCTGCTCGATATGGGCGTCATTCCCATTGTGAACGAGAACGACACGCTAGCCGTCTCAGAAATCAAGTTTGGCGATAACGACACCCTCTCCGCCATCGCCGCGGGTATGGTCCACGCGGACATGCTGTTCCTCATGACGGACGTAGACTGCCTCTACGACAAGAACCCCAGAGCACACCCCGACGCCCAGGCAATCGAGGTTGTTGAGGACATTTCAAGTATCCAAGCAGACGGTAAGCAGGCAGAAACCCTTCCCCCCTCTCGCCCTCCCATGTAGTGGAAAAGGGGGTGCCTCAGTCTCACCTAAGCTAACCCGACCTTTTCCCCAACTTAAGTCTCAACAGCGGGATCCGCCCTCGGCACCGGTGGCATGATGACCAAAATCGTCGCCGCAAGGCTAGCAACGCAAGCAGGTGTGACAACCGTCATCACCCGCTCCTCCAACCCGGGCAACATCGTCAAGATCGTCCGCTACGTCCAAGCCCAGCAAAAGTACACCTCCTCCTCTTCCTCGCCGCACCTGGGCGCCGCCCCAGACGGCGAGGACCCCGATAACCACCACGACGGCCACGACCACACCGAAGACCCGTTAGCGCAGTCGACGGCCTCCCTCCACATAGACCAAGCCGTCGAGAAGCCCCCGCTGCACACCCGCTTCCTCCCCTCCACAGACCCCATTCGCGACCGCCACTTCTGGCTCATCCACGGTCTCAAGCCCCACGGCACGCTCTACATCGACGCGGGAGCCCACAGCGCCCTCCTCCGCAAAGCGGGTCTCCTCCCCGCGGGCGTCCTCGACGTCGAGGGCAACTTCGCGCAGCAGGAGGCCGTCCGCCTCGTCGTCGTGGACCGCCTCCACGCGCCCAGCACCACGGGTAAGCTGTGGGGCGGCACGCCCGTCGAGGTCGGTCGCGCGCTCGTCAACTACGCCGCGCCGGAGATTATGCGCATCAAGGGACATCAGAGCTCCGATATTGGCGGCCTGCTGGGGTACGCTGACAGCGAGTACGTGGCGGAGAGGCAGCACATTCGCATCTTTGATCGGGAGAGTCGGCCGGTGACGCCGAGTATCGAGAAGGTCAAGGAGCAGGTCGTCGAAGAGGTGATTTCAGGTATCACGGGTTATGAGCAGAAGACATAGACAAAATAGTGTTCATAGTAGACGCTCCGTTACGATCTACTTTTCTCTGTACAAGAGTTGTGTCAACATCCCACGCAACGCCCCCCAAAACGCCATAATCGAAGAACCCGCTCCAGGAATCAAAACGCTTCCAATATTCGGTGGTATATGGGGGATATCCCCAACCAGTAAAGAAGCCTTTGTAAAATACGCATGCCTGATGAATCTTCGCATGCATCGACACCAAGGACTATGTGATGAACACTTTCTTAAGCTTGTCTATGGGGTAGACCTCGCCGGTGCGCAAATCCTTGACCTGGTCTGGTGGCAAGCCAGACTTCTTTGCGTAATCCTCGAGGCGCTCCTTGCCGTACGCCCGACTGTTCGGCAGTAGCAGCAGATCGTGCTCGACGTAGCTCTTGGTGTGATGCGCGTAGGGGACGTTGCGGGCAAGATCGTTAAGCTCTGTTGAGCATATTGGGCAAACGGATTGCGTGCCTGCTGTGGCTGAGGCATTCGTTGCCGTATTGGCGTCAGCAGCGACATGCGATGAGTTCAGAGAATGGCAGGCTGGGGTCTTGAGGGCTGAAAGCCCCGAGGAGAGAGCGATGTGGAGGAGGGGATATGAAGGCAGAGCCAATAGACTGTTGTGAGTACGGGTAAAGAGGTCGGCGAGGGTGTTCCACCGTTCGGGGCTGTAGAGGTCTGAGTACACGGCATTGGCAGCCGTTGGTGGATAGGCTAGTAAACCAAAAGCCTTGCGAAGTTCGTCCGGATATGTCGCCTTGAAAGGGACGAGGTATTTCTTCGCGTGAGTGATGGCCTCCAGGAGTTTTGGCTGGGATTGGGTCCGGACAAGCTCGATATACTGCTGGAAGCGAAGCATGAATTCGAGATTACTCTGTTTGCACAAGGTCAGTCAAGATGCCAAGCGAGATTGGGTATACAGCTAGACGTACATCCATCTTGCGAAGCTCCTTCTTGTTATCCTGGCACCAAGCCAGTGCCTCAACCACACTTCCTCCTCTGAGTGATTCTTGAATTCGACTCATCTGGACAAAGGTCTCAACGTCGACCAAATCACCCATGTTCCGCTCAGTTGTGAGTGCCTGCGCACTTTCATTGTAGCCATGGCGAAGCAGATAATCGACGAGCAAGCGGTCGAGACGGGCGCGGCTCCAAGCCTCATATTTGACGTCGTCAACGGAATGCATGCCGTAGAGATCGCCGAGATGGGAGATACGGGCGCCGGTCTGACGGGTCAGACGAGCTTCTTCCTCGGCGTGAGCTGTGAGCTTGCGCTTAACGCCACGCATGCGGGCGATCATGCTATCGAGATTGCGGAGAACATCATCGGGGGATGAGTTGCCCTTGACCGAGGCCGTGGCCGTCTCCTTCAGCAGGGTCTTAATGGCTGTAGAGTCCTTCTCGACGGTGAAGTGGGCGGAACGGAAGTTCTTTCGCAGGAGCTCGTACGGGAGGCGGAGGAGGGGTTGATCCTGTCGGTTGGCATGAAGGTTAGTGCGAGAATTGAATAGCTAGCTTCCTGTGACGCAGCGACGTACGAGGAGGAGATGGTCCTGATGCTTGATTGTGGCGTGCTCATGGTCGCCCATCTTGGCGACTTTCACGGACGTGGTGATGAAGTGCCAGACCGTGTTTGACGTCGTATTTTTGTTGGAGAGAACTCATATGCTGATGTCGTCGTTATGGCTCGAAAAGAAGCGAAAAGGCGTCGGGTTCGTTGGAGGCTTGAAGTTGGGAGGTCGGAGCACAGGTGCGCTGGTACGGCCGCTAGCAGCAATTGACGTTATGCCGCCGAACGTGGCGGGGCCGGCATCTTTCCGCAACAGAGCTGGTCTTTCGGGAAGCTACCTTACCTCGCGATACTTAATGGGGTGTCTAACCTTCCAGACTGCTTCGGATTTTCTCAAATGGTTTGAATATCTTGAACGTTCGTAACTACTATCCATCTGTCCTGCTACTGAGATCTCATCCTCTTGAAGACCGACATTCCTTTCCAAACGCCCACTGGACCATGCTCTGAGCACTCTGCATTCATCAGTGACAGACCCAACGTGAACGGCTGTTCAGCACAGACCACACATGTGGCTCATGTTTGATTACGTAAAGACTCTGTTGAATGGAGTGTGAGCTCGGTCCAGCCACAACCCCGCTCTCCAAGGCTCGACCCAGCTCAGTTGTCACTTGCTACAACCAGCATCCGTAAGCAAATACGATGTGAGAGCTTGGGCAGAGGTAACACTGAAACGAGGCAGACGGTGGCTAGCAACGGTCGAGACTACTTCGAAGCCGGTGTATCTGCTGTGCTTCTCTTCAAAGTGGAATGTCTCACCGTCCATTAGTCAAGTGATTCGTGTTGGCACCCACGGGAGCATCAGGTGATTGACGAGGCTCGGCATTTCGCAACGTAAACTCGAAGAGGACCTCACCCAAGTGCACAGTAGATGGGTGTTCGGACTAGGTAGCTGAGGCTAAGGTAGGAGGATAAGCCCACATCTTCAGACCGGTCGAAGCTACCCCTGCAACACTCTTCCTTACTCGTAGTAGCCTTCCGGTCCATCGCTAACATGAAGACGACGTGTCGAGCTGGCCAACAATAAGAAGTTCGATAACGAGCAACAAAGGTCAACCACATTTCCCAGGCTGGGGCGCTGTTGCGGCAGGTGCCCCTCTTCGGAATGCGGATTGGCTCGGGGCAGTCGGGGAAGAAGACACCCACTTAGAAGCGACCGCCAGTGGGTGTGGATTCCCAGCCTTTGATTGGCTTTCGGCCCTTCTTGCCTCAAGAGTCAGGCGCACAACCTCCCTCTCGCTCAAGCGTATTTATCTCCAGCCTCACCCACTTTGCACGTGTTCACCCTTCTCCTTTGCCGCGTGACCAGAGCTTCCCGCCGTCGCTCCCCCCAAACCGATACGCCCAACTCAACCGGCCCCTTTCAGGTCAATACCTCCTCGAAAAATAATAAGATAAACTCAAGCCTTTGCCCAGGCTACGGCAATCCTCAAGAATCGCGATTTTGGAAAAAATTCGACGCGTTTCCCTGCTCTTCTGTCAACTTTCAACCTCGACTGTTACTAACCAACTACACGGGCTCCATCCGACGAGGCCCCCCCCCAGCAGCCGCTGGCGCGCGATATCACGAGTTTGATCACGCCGACAACACGTGAACTCCAGCAAAACCCGTGATCTGGCTCACCGCCCAGACCACGCCGCGAAGCACATGATCTCAAGGTATGCGAGCTGTCCCATTTTTCTGACGATCTTCCCGTCTGCCCTATCGTCTTCCATCGCTATCACACTGCACTGCAACGGAAGCACGCTTCCGCAGAAAGATTGCTTTTCCTCATTTGCGCCATTTTTGGGGGTGCTGTCTTGTTCAAGCGCATCTCGCGATCTGTTGCCCAGCCACAATCAAGCGATTGTGCCGGATGGAAATTCATCATCCGACGGTCAATACATCCTCTAGTTGTCCAGGACGATTCTTTTTCCAGCAGACACGGCCTGTCAATCCATACAACCAAGTGTCATCTCCTTCTGATGAGCGTGGCGTATGCCGATTGAAACATATCCTATACCACGACAATCTCAGCGCTCATGTTGAGCCGTCAGCTGTGGTCTCGTCAATGTCAAGCTTTTCCTGCTACCAATCTTCCACGGCATTGAAGAGCAAGCGCTCCAGTGTTTGCTCATGAGAAGCGGTCGCTGCTTGAGGGCACCACTCAGCTTCGATCAAATTCAGCTTTGCGATCCGTCACGGCTTACGGAGCATTTGATACTCACTCACTTGTCTTGACGTGACCTTTCGTGTTTGCTACTTCATGGTCTTACCACATGCGATTCCGGAATTATTGATGCTAACCAATCTTACTTAGTCCCCGCTTCATTCAACTGAATCCAGCTTGAGTCGACGAAAGGATCGTGTCTACTGTCCGCGGCTCCGCCTATTAATCCTCTCTCATTCTCACATTTGAACCCACGGTCTCCCCCAACAACTCTCAACCACAGCAACAATGGCCGACGTCATGAGTGAGCATCCTGACTTATCGGAGTTGGCCCGCTCCCCATCTCCCGGCCAGAAGCGAAAGCGCGACGACGACTTGTCTGATTCGATGAGTCCTAGCCGAAAGCGTTCCAGTGCTGAAGGACTTTCAGATGTGGACACTGCAGCTTTCATTGAGAATGCTGTCGAGGCTGCCCATGCCGCTGCCCAGAACGGTGTCTCCGCCGCGGATTTCAGCGCTCTGCAACAAGCTGCCGCTGCTGAGCATTCCGAGGCAGCTGATCCGGCCAATGCTTCCAGCACCGCTGCTGCCGCCCTTGGATCCATGTATCCCACCCTTCATGTTCCTCCTACCACCGAGGAGCAGTTTGCTGCACAGTCGAACAACGATCCGACCCACGGTCAAGACCATGGTTTCGGCCATGCTGACCTGAGCCCGCCGGACGGGCTCCCAGGTCTTCCCCCTGTCCCTCAGCCCACGAATGGCCTTCAGTCTGTGCAACCTCAGCAATCCCACCAACCTCACCAGCATCAGCAACCTCCCCCACCTCAGCACCGTTATTCGTCTGGATCAGCCGGCACTCCCGCTAAGAAACCGGACGTCGGTTCAGAGGAATGGCATAAGATGCGCAAGGACAACCACAAAGAGGGTAAGCAATATCAAAGAAGATCCCGATGTAGACGCTAACCTAAACATAGTCGAGCGCCGTCGCCGTGAAACAATCAATGAAGGCATCAATGAGTTGGCCAAGATTGTGCCCAATTGCGAGAAGAACAAAGGCTCCATCCTTCAGCGTGCCGTCACATTCATCAATCAACTCAAGGAGAATGAGACGCAAAACATCGAGAAGTGGACTCTTGAGAAGCTGCTTACGGAGCAAGCTATAGCAGAGCTCAGTGCCTCCAACGATAAGCTGAAGCAAGAGTGCGAACGTCTCTACAAGGAACTAGAGACTTGGAAACGAGTTGCTCAGAATGCGGGTCTTTCATACCCCCAGGCGAACAAGGAGGAACCGACGAGCACGACCTAGAAGGTCTCAGCTCAAGATCAGACCCCTCACACTGCGGCCAACGTGGAGGTGGCGTCATCTCCTCAGCAGGCTCACATCGATCTGGCGAACCTCCAGCGTGAGAGTCAGCAGGACCAGCATGGTGCCCTTCTGTACGGACCCTCCGCCCTCTTCGTCGATGAGGTCAGCGATGAACATGAACCGCCTCACCATCAGCTTGACACTCCTCAGTACCATTCACCCATCCCCTCAATCGATTGTGCTATCCATCAGCTTGACGTCCCCCAGCGCCAAGCTTCCGCCTCTTTCGACCCCCTTCGCCAGCCACGTTCGATTGCGCCTCGGGTGATCTCTCCTCATACGACTCCTCCTAGCGCGATTGCTCCTCCGATTCCTCCCAGAAGATTCCATTCGCCTCAATCTTCTGGGTTCGCTGCTTCGATCCCACAGGGCATCTGTCAGATCGAGAACCTGGACTCCGACCCTTCTTTTTACTTTTCACCTTATACCCCCAGCCAGCAGTAAGCTGCTTTTTGTTGTTTCCTCAGATTATAAAGCACGGTAGCCGCAGTAGATAGGCTATATCATAATCAACCTTGCTCTCTAACTGTCATGTTTTCTCATACGTATATGGTTTGACCACAGTGCTGAACAAAACCTTGTGTTGGGTTTGTAGGATTTGAGTGTTTATAACAGAGGCGTTGCATGGACCACCGAGCTTTTCAGCTTTAGGGCATTAATAAGACACCGGCTCTTTCCACGTGCAAAAATCCAAGTTCCGTCTCCTCTGTGGCGTCTAATAACTTGGCTAAAACATTGAGACAAGTACGTCGAGGAATCGCCATAGACCGACTTCCAATGTCGATTAAGATACTCCCAGTCGTTTGGAAGAATCTTACTAGTGCGTAAAGTTTGCACAAGAAACCTTGAAAACTTTTCAGATTGGCTAAGTGGTAAGAAACGGCGACAGATGACTTGCTTGACTTTTCAGAATGCGCTCCGAGCAAAGAAGCTGTCCATGAGTTGACTGTGTCTTTGTTACAACACCATGGTATGTATTCTCTTCCCTCTAAGCCTCAGAATCCGGGCCAGAGAAGACTCGACGCGGCGCGGCAAGATCAACAGCCCGTAGACTGGTTTGCAGCGAGGGGTACGATCATTCCCCTGACGAATAGCTGAACAAGTCAGTGAGATGGGAGTAGACCTGCAACCCTACTAGCAAGGCAAGGCTAGCCCATCAAGTCAACAGACAGAGACGAGCACAGCCAACGCATCTGCCGCACAAAGCCGAGCAGGCCATCAACAAGGGTTGGATAAGAGAAGTGTCCAGCTTGAGTGAGAACTCGCATGCCGCACTTTCCTCACATTCCAGGCTGGTACATGCATCTGTATCACTCACGCTTATTCGCAGAAGCGCAGGAGAATGTTGTATTCTAAACCCTCGTATTGGCTTTCCGGAGCGCTCCGGTCTGATTAGACGTTTGCCCAAGACGTAGCGTGCAGTCCAACTCCTAATCCTACCCGTTGCGCATACATGGCGAGCACGAGCTGTCCTTCTTCAAGGAAAAGGCTCACTCTGTCTTATCATAGCTACGATTAGAAGATGAGCAGCCTACATTGACACCACTTTCTTCTGACTAGGGGTCCTCGGCTTCCAACTATCACCGCTTGCACGTTGACGAAGCCTCAAACGGTTCAGTACTTCGGCAACTGTCCCTGCTCCGGCCGTAAGAAGAACGCATGTAATCGGTCATCGAATGCCACGTCCTGCATGTAAAGTTGTCCTCTTGTTATATGCAGTATATGCAGCTGAGGCCTTTTTCGGTATCCTCCCACGTCCCGCTATCTGACTCGTAGACGGGCAGTCCGGAGGGCTCATACTCCCGACGAAAACAACGAATTCGGTCCCGGGGAGGAGCGGGGAGGAAGAAAGGGGAAGAGAGAAAAGTTCCCGCGGATTGGGGGCGTGCATCGCGCATGATGCAACAGCACGTCCTTCCCGGCCGTAGCGGAGAAGGGGGGAGGGGAGGAGAGATTTGGCGCCCGCTGCCGTCCGGCTGCCGGATCGAGGTCCGGACCTGGGTTCAAGGGTTTGTATAGTCAAGGTTGGCGGGATCCAGCCAGTGTCACAACTTCCACGCGGTATGCTGTGAGAATGCGGTTTGCTCAAGCAAAGTAAAACGCGGGACAAAGGAGAGGAGGGGTGGGGGCAGAGCGAGCACGACCGCTTCGGGGATATATCTCTTCGCCTCAGAGGTAGTGACTGCGATGGCAGCGAAAGTGCTGACGAGCCTCGCATGGGGAATTGGCTTTCAACTCGGTGAAACTGAAGCGCGGATGACGAACGAGTTTCCGGGCCCCTTGTCTCTTGTGCAGATTGAACACGCCATATTTCCTGCCTGCCTTGAGATATCGCTCCGACTGGGCAGTCAACGTCGAGACCATGCCGATGGAGAGAGAACAGCTGCCCACACTATTTACCCATGATGAACAGCGATTTGCGCCGAGACATTCCCCGGTGAAGACGTCTTGCTGAGATGGAAATAGACAAGCTGTGCTCCGTACAGGGCTCTTTGGAGTAACTCTCGCCTTGACCCAGAACCTAGAAGTTGGTTTCGTTGGTTAGCAGTGCTCGTCTTTGCTGTGCAGATCCATGGATGCCGTTTATTTCGGCGCGCCATACTTTCGCGGATGCGCAATGAAACTCAAAATCAGACGACGAGGTGCTTCTATTTG